CGTTGGATATGACGACTGGAGAACTCCTCCGAAGGAGGAGGACCATCCCGAGTTCCTTGCTCGGGAGGTTGAGGACGTCTTCCGTTCCTATTGCGCGGGCCTTTTGAGGTCAGAAAGTTTCGACCTCAGGTCCTGCGTAATTGATCCGGAACCGGCGCCCAAGGCGGAGCCGGCTCCCAAGGTGAAGCCGCCTCCTCCATCTCTGTCGGTCAGTAAGGGCCTTCCTAGGCGATCGGCTCCTGCTGTACATACTGGGTCGGCTCACACCGCCAAGCGTCCAAGAGAGACTGGCGGTGGCTCCATTGGGAGCGTGCAGATCCCAGGACAGTATTTCGGCAAAGCCCGCACAAAGGAATCCCCTGTCCAACCCCCTGAACCGCCAATGGGCGGGACGGAGGGGAGCGCACAGCCGTCCGCGATGGATGTGGATAGAGAGGGGAGTAAGGGCGATGAGAAGAAGAACAAAGCGACCAAAGAGGCTGCTGTAGCGTCAAAGAGCGCAAAGCCGCATCCGGCGAAAGCGTCGCGTCCTGAGGCCCTAAGCGGCTTGTTGGATGTGACACTGATCAGCGATGTACGGGAGCGTGATCGGGATATTTCCGATGACGAGTGTATTCCCCTACGAATGTGTGCATGTTTCCAGACTCATGGGAGGGCGACCTCCGTAACTGGAAAGCCCGGAGGCTTTGAGCAGTTCAGAAACGAGCTCATGAGGATCCAGAGAATCCTGGATTCTCCGGCGTTGGTCGACCTTGGTAAGGTCGATCTGGACGCTCTGGGCGAGCCGCCCAGGGAGTACGTATCGGATGAGGATCACGAGGGTCACGTAGATGATGATGGGATGGGCCCATATGTGGACAAGTTCTCATCAATGGGCGACCGCGACCTAGTGCCCTCAAGGCAGGAGCCGCCCTACTATGAGGCAAAGGCGTGGCGCACCACAGAAGAGGAAATTGAGAGGATGAAAAACCTATTTCCATACGTTCGTGCCGAAAATTATCGGCCCATAGGTGCCAAAGCGCACGAAAAGGGCGTCCTCCCTGCTGGTGCGTCGCTAGAGGATGCACTGATGGCAAAGCCCGATGTGTGCCCGATTGCGAGCACCTACAACCTCACATTCGAGGGTGAAGAGGTTGTGTTTGATGCACAGAGCGGGACAGCAGGCAGAATCGCCTGTCCTGCCGGTAACGACATCTTCCATTTTTTCCCCGAGATTAACGATACGTCGGCGATGCTTGGGCGAAGCTCCAGGGAGTCGCAAATGCTGCTAGAATTTTTGTCGGGCAACACTGACCCAACGCGGTTGAACGTGAAGCCCGGTGAGCCGGCTCCCAGCTTGTGTGGGACGGTTCCAGACATTCTGGGAGGTTGGATGTCAATGACTCTAATCTCAACGCTCTTTGAGGCCCTATACGGGATCCATAAGTGCTCGAGCGTCGAGGTGGCGACCTGGGCGGGTTCTCTCGCGAAGGAGAGCCCAGCGTACCCTCCAGTCGAGCTCCTAATACGGACAGTCTGGAGGGGAGATGGCTCGATTGTGCGCCCGAATGAGGTGCCTTTTGCGCGTTCCACCCTAATCGGGAGGGACGTGCCGTTCAAAGTTTTCAAGCGTTGGGCACTGCGTGACCGAACGCCTATGGGGCCTTTGCTTAGGCCGTTGGGAGCAGCGGAGGTCCCTTGCACGGGATACGTGCTGCTGACGATGGCCGAGTATCGGTCCGCCCTCAAAACGAGGTGCATTCGGAGGCCCGGCAAATTCGCCATCACAGTTTTCCCCATGCGACCTGAGCAGGTCTGCAGGGGGGAGATCATGATTGGGTTGGAGGGCGCAAAGGTGCCTCTCCTCAAGTTGCCAAGCCCCAATAATGAGGGCGAATTTTATGTTGACGATCGCGTCAAATACATGGACAAGCGCCATGTCGTTGTGGCCGTTGACCTAAAGTGGATGGCCATCGAGGAAGCCGCCGGCATCTATAAAACCCGACGCGGTTTGATTGCTGTGCGAGAGGAGATACATGCGCCCTTCTGGCGCGCATGTTATCTGCACCAGGAAGGGGATGTAATATACATCCGTCCCTGGGCGGTCCGAGAATTGAATGTCCAGGGACCGCGGAGAGGGATGTCATTTTCATGGGACAAGGCTCCCATGCATGACTATTGGTGCCCTCGGTGCGCGCATTTGAATATGTATGGCACCATTCTATGCAATGGTTGCCATTTGCCGATTTTCTATCGAGAATGGGTGCCAGGCACCATCCGCTCCCAAGTTAGGAGAGGGCAGCCAGTTTGGCTGGACGGACTCAAGGCAGTCCGTGCCAACAGCTGGTATGAAGGGGAGACTGACGTGTGGGCTCCTCTCATGGCGTCGGTAAACCCGATCCGCGAGGTGGTCAGCTGTATGATCTCCGGTTTGCGCTGTGCGCCTCATCTTGTGCACAATCCCAATGCGGATACCGCACGCTTGTGTGCGTGCGAGTGACGAGGCTCTCGAGCGGTGGGTAGCAAAACAGCTGCTCATCGAGGAGAGCAATACTGGCGTCCCAATTCCCGACAATATGTCTGTCATGACATATTTGGTCGAGCACCCGCAACAGGCGGCGCAATGGGGTCGTCATATGACGAGAAAGGGCAGTCTAAATTCAGCATTTGCTCTTTACCTCTCTGTGCATATTTTTGATGCCTACCGCATCGGGATTGAGGACGGATATTTGGTTCCGCTGTATGGCCTAGGCGCCTCACGTGCGGACATTATAATGTCATTGGTACAGGCTGAGCGACGCCTCTCGGACTTCAATAGTGAGGACCCAAGTTTTGATGCCTCCACAGTTCTCGATTTGAGTATCGACTCTCTGCGGGCCGGTGGTGGATCCATCACGGCCCCGATTGAGTATGCTGAGGCATACATTTATGTCGAAAACAACAAGGTTGAAATGGTCTCCGCGGCACGGCGAGACGGCCAAAGCGCCATCGTTTTCGCTGACCCGCCGTCTGGGAAGCATCATAGGCGGGCAGCCACTCCTAGGGGAGATCATCGGCCCGCGACCTGATTTCAGGGAAAAGGGGGATCAGCAAAAGGGCAAAGCCCCTGCGCACTCCTGGCCAAAGCGTGGAGGTAAGGGTCACAGAGGTGACCAATTTACAGGAAAGGGTCACAAGGGTGACCAGTACAAAGGCAAGGGTGGCCAATACGGCTACCAACAAGGGCAGTTCGGTCGTGGCGGATCCGCCAGATCGAGAACTCCCACTGGCGGGTATCAGCCTGATGCTCGCGAGTCGGGCTACAGGGGCGCACAGGCTGCTCCTTTCCCGTTCCCAAGTCCGATGTATCCCAATTTCCCGATGGGAGGATACATGCAACAGCCCATGGTTGGCATGATGCCGCAAATGTGGCCCGGCGCAATGCCGCAGGGTTGGCAGCCGCATATGCAGGGTGATCCCCGCGAGTTCGAGAATCCGAACTCGCCGCATACCCCTACCTGGGGTGACGATGACGAGTTGGCCGAGACAGTGCCTCCTCCCCCTGGGGACTGGAATGTCAACAAGGGGAAGGGACGGCACGGCGGCGGACGACATCAGTAATACCTGAAGTCTGTCTGTGTGTTTTGCATGGCTGCGCCAACGCGCGCATGCTTTCATTTCGGAATTCACAGGATGGACTATGCTCCTTGTCGTATTTCGTTGTCTGGGCTATTCGCCATTTCAGAATTCATCTGCATGCGTGGCTGTGCGCTATTCGCGCAAGCTGCGATTACCTGTCAGGTGTGCGTCGCCACAGCAAGGCAGTCACCCTCGGCGGCGTCTATGGCCGCTGGTGATCCGCATCCTCCTGCACCGCTGCTGCTGCTGGTGATGGAGCTCATCAAGGTGCCGAGGTGAGGATCACGGATGCCCCGCACCGCTGCCGGTGAGGTCCTACTCGGACCTGAACCGCCGAATGCCGCTGGCGGTATCCCTGGAGGTTGTCTTCGAGTGATCGCGCGCCTAGACGGTGCCGTTCAAGGCCGAGATATTTCAGTCTACGCACCACGTTTCAACCAGCAAGCCGATGCGTTTTTGACAATATAATTCAAGCCCTAAATCCACGTGAATCTAATGATTCAATGTGGTTGCATCGCAGATATTTCATGCCTGCCATCTTGGAGTTGAATCTTTGTTTCTTTCCTTCTTTTGTTTCTCTTGGTTGATTTGGCTACCGGCGTGATCCGCCCCATACCCGTAATTCGGGGTGGTGGCGGGATCCGGGCTCCAAAGCGAGCCCGGGTATGGGGTCGCGAACCTAGTCTAGTCGTCTTTGTTCCTTATTTGGTTCTATTCAACTTCAAATGGCCAATGCGCCTTTCCAAATTCACTCCTTCTCTTTGTACAGTCGAGGGGGGTGTTTTTGGGGGCATGTACTTTTATCATAGCATGTTTGCTCATTGCCATGGCCAATGCGCCATTTGGCTCAAGTTTTATCTCCGGCAACCCTCACTTGCAATCTCGTCACGTGCTCGCGGCGGCACTGGCCACCGTCTTCGCGCAAAAGGTGCGCGGGGCCGGCAGGCCGTGGTCCGGGTCTTCGTGGAGGTGGGTCGGGTGTTGTGTTGGGAGGTCACCATTTGTTTTGCTTCTGCACGCTTGCTCGCTTTGCTCGCTTGGCGCTGCTTGCTGCTGGTTTGCTTGCCTGCTTTGCGCTGTGCTGCGCTTCTGCTTGGTTCCTTCTTGTTACAACGAGGCACCCCTTTTGGTTCGTGTTAGTGCCGGCCGGGGGCAACTGCTTTGCCCTTGGGACCGGGGGGATAAGGTGGTCTCTTCTTGTTGGTGGGTTAGGGCCTGTTTTATCCATCCCGAAACTCTGTTTCAAACCCTTTCGCACTTTTAGTTGCAGGTCCCTAAGGGGCGACTGAGGTCGGGATTTTAGTGGTTGGATTAGTTGATGTTCGCTAGGGGCTAACCGCTTTGGATTTTGACTTTTGGCCATCTGACTTCGGCATCTCTCTTCGGCATCTCTTTCCCCCGAGGAGGCAGTATCTCCGGGCCGCCAGGCACGCGGGTCCCGGTGGACATGTTTGAAGCAACCATTGCGGACCAAAACGCGCAACCTGTTTTTCCATTGTGGCTGCCCGATGAAGGTCCTTTGATCCGATTTCCGGTTTGTGACTTATGGTAGTTCGACCATGTCTGTTCGGGTATGTGTGCTGACAGCGGCTCATATATGTGATGCACCACATATCTTACTTCCCAATTAGTTGGACCAGTCTTTGTTGAAGCGCGAATTTAGTGGCAAGCTGAAACATCCCGGCAATGTTTGGCAAATTCACCCAGGAAGTCATATTATGCTTATGTTTGCCAATCTTACCACCAGAAACCGATAGGGGACGCCCAATGCTGATATCCTTGTGATATGGTTTGTCTCTCAACTGGAACTCAAGGATCAGCCCCTCCCCCAACTTCCCATCTTAAAGGAGATTTCTCTTTTTGGGGTTTCTGTTTTAATCTGCAGAGGAGGCATGCGTGGGCCGGGACTCAGTTGCCGGGGCCTCTTTCGAAAGGGGAAACCAACAGTTGTGCAGTCTCGGTTTATAGGTTTAAATTAGCCATACCCAGCCCAATTTGGCAACCGGTAGCAACTTGGGCAAGGACTTGTAGCTATATTGCCATGGGTCATCCCGAACCCCAAGTGGACATCCCAATCCCCACTAAAGTAGACTAGTTTACCCTCCCTTCAAGAATCAAAGAAGCAGACTACTTTCTTTTGGGGAACCTCTCTGTCCACTCCCTGAGTTTCTGGACTTTATACCTTTCGGTATGACCGTTTTAGTGGCAAGCAAAAAGTTAAGACTTTGTTTGGCCAATCCACCCAGGAAGTGAGTCTCTGTCCACTTGCGTGATGATGGAGGGAGGCTAAATGAAATATCAGAAACTCCTGGGTCTTAGGTTGCTGTTTGCTGTGACAAGGGAACCACCTTTAAAGCGACAAGATAGAGGTGCAGTTGGAGCTGTGTCAAACCATGGTCGCGGTTATGCATCCCCAATGTTTGACAAGCCAGCTTACCCCGTAGAGTCGTGATGAGAGGCGGCGTTGCTTTGCCTTCGCACTCGCTATGATCTCATGTTTGCCAGAACTGAATAATAGCCAGGTGCATCTTGGTATGTTGGGTGGCATCTATGAAATGCCATGGAAATTCGACCGGACCTGAAGCAAACTCTGATGGGCAAGGGCCATGTGGCAATTTAACTATCCGGTTTGGTCACGCAGGGGTGTCTTTTCGCCACCTTTTGTGAGAAAATTGGCGACCCCCTCAAAAAGGAATCCTTCACTACGAGGGGGTCGATCATTTTTCCACAAAAGGTGGCAAAAAGACCCCCCTGGTTTGGTCTTTGACTTCAATGGCCATGGGCCGTCGGCTCAGCCAGGTGGAGTAGACCTGCTGCGCTTGATGCCAGACTTGGCAGAGCCGCCTGGCCCACTGGCAGACAGGGACTTGACACTCAACCCAACAAAAAGACATTCCAGATCTGAAAGGCCAGATAGAGATGCGGCTGTGTTGACCCAACTGCCCCAAGCCCCCTTTGTCGTCAAAGGGGCCAAAGAGACGATGTTTAGTCGGCCTCGTGTGAAGGCCAGGGCTTACCTGTTGATTCCCCCCCCCAAACAAAATGGGGGGGGTCAATAGAGGAAACCCTGAAACAAAATGAGGGTCAGACCGAGTCTTCCCTAAATAGTATTCCAGTAAGTATTGGTTCAGTATTGGTTTAGTATTCTTGCTGACTGGCTTAGTACTGCTTAGAATTGGTTTAGTATTGGTTTAGTATTCTTGCTGACTGGCTTACTACTGCTTAGAATTGGTTTAGTATTGGTTTAGTATTCTTGCTGACTGGCTTAGTACTGTTTAGAATTGGTTTAGTATTGGTTTAGTATTCTTGCTGACTGGCTTAGTACTGCTTAGAATTGGTTTAGTATTGGTTTAGTATTCTTTGGAAAGGAAACTTCCTTTTGTGGGGAGACTCAGTAGTTCTTTGGAAAGGAAGCACTTTTCCTTGCAGGCATTCCTGGCCCCAGTCCTAAAAAACTTTTCTCAATTAACCCCCCTTAAACAAATCTCATTGTTGGCTTCCTGGGTGTTCCCTGTACTACCCCCTTGAAAATTTGGCAGGGTGCAACTTTTGGCACGGGCTGTCATAAAGAATTTGCGAGTTGGGGACCTCAGTCAAACTTCCTTTTCTGGGGAGACTCAGTGCAGGACACATGTTCTTCCTCACTGCTAGTGGTGGTTGGTGGTACATGGTGGTCAGGTTGGTGGTGGTGGTAGGTTGGGGGGGGAAGGGCGGGGCAGAGAGAGACAGGAGGTGCACTGAACTAGGGATTAATTATCAAACTTTTTGGGGGGGAACATTGTTCCGGATTTGTTGCCCCTCACAAAAACTTTTGTGTATTAACTCCCCCTTTTGCTTTTCAGGGGTGTGAATAATTTTGGGATTTTTTTGTGTATTGACTCCCCATTTATTATTCGCAACCTAACATTAGTGAGCTTTGAATATGGGTCGGTTTGGCAGCATCTTTGATTTTGGCTCTTGGCCAAAACTTGCGGTAGGATAATTGGGTCTGTTTCTTGTCTTGGAGACCCCTCAAATTAAATGCTGGTTTCTTGTTGATTTCTCTTTAAAACCACCCCCAAAAGGATACCTCACTTCCTGAGTTTCTGGACTTTCGACTTTCTTGGTTTGGACCATTTCAGTGCTAAATCGATAGTTTGGTACCTTTTTTGTTAGCCAACCTACTCAGGAATTGAGCTAGTCTCAGAAAAAGACAGGCCAAAAAATGTTTTCCCCAGAATTTGTTCCCCTCTCTTTTTTTCTTTTTGTTGGGGGGGCTTCCCTTTGTTTTCCATTCACCAGGCAAACAAACACCTGTTTTTTGCTGGGTTCCTAAGTCCAGCCCATATCAAATTTCAAGCCTATAGGCTGACACATCGACCCTACCCGAGGCGTCGCGTGCTGGTGAAGGACCTGTCCCGCACCTCGCGGAGCTTGAGCACTTGGCAAACGGACCGAGTCGGGAGTCGGCTCGGGCGATCGGCCGAGTGTCACGATTTGGCGCCCGAGATCTGCGAAGTTCTTTGGAGAAAGTTTGTGCCAAGGGATGTTAGGATGTTAGGACTTTTTGCCAGCGAAGGAGTTTTCTGAACCACGAAAAGTTAAACTTTTAGAAGGGGAGCGGAAAGCAACCATAGTGTTGACCCCATACTGTGGATGGGCGAAATCCCGCACCATGCCAGGGAAACCAAACACCATCTCTTCCATTTGCTTTGTCGCCCCTCGGAAAAAGAAAGGACATACTGATGGGTCTACCTTTTGACTGCTCCCCGAAAAGAGTTTAAAATTAGGGGTGGTTGATGTCCCTAGAAGCAAAATCCCTGGGTTTAAGTCTACCTTGGAGTAGTCAACAAGTAGAAACCTGGTTGACCCCGTACTGTGGATGGACGATTTTCTGCACCACTTTGAAGCCATGGGAAACCATTGTTCGTTGGTATTTGCATATTAGGGCTTCTTATGTTGTGCAGGATTTCGCCCATCCACAGTATTAATCAGCCCCAGTTTATAATAGGGGGGGTGGTGTTTGGCCCCTCCGAAAAGTGGTCTGATTCCAACCACATTTCACCTCGGGACACCCCCCTATTGATTTAAAAATAAAAAACTGCATGGGGTTGATTAATATGGGGTCAACGCTACTTTGGATGGTTTCGGAATCCAGTTCACACCACCTAAGAAACTCTGGAATAATGAATTCCCTGTAAACACCAACGAACAATGGTTTGCCATGGTTTCTTAGGTGGCGTATGATTTCGTCCATCCACAGTATCACCAAGGTCTTGCGTGCTATGATCGAAAGAGAAGCGTAGGCGTAAGTATCCAGGCCCTCATGTTAACCCTCCTCTTTCCCAAAACATGTCACCTCAAAAGGGCCTTATGAGCATTGGAGGACGTGCAAGGCGGCAGCATACTATCAGCAACCGGCCACGGGAAAAAACAGTGCCTTGCTTGTTCAGCAGGTGTCGGGACCCAAGTGCAGACAAGACAAGACAAGCAAGGGCAATGGGAATCGACTGATAGTAATCTTCTGCAAACAAACCCTACGTTATGGCGTTCGCTTGTTTTTCCCGGACGGGCAGAATCGCCACACAATCTTGACGTCGAACAGCTTCTAAGTCGGACAAAGAGGTTCGATCAGGTACCCAAAAATGAACCTCCAAGCAGGAGCGAGACTCCTGTTTCAGCATTTCACATGGGGCCATTTTGGCCGAAAAGTTTAAGGACTTGCGCTTGCCAGGGAAACCCATCTATGTTTGCCAAAGGTACATCTATGGCCTAAGGGAATTAAAGCAAAAGCCTGCTTTAAACAATCGCTTCATGTGTTTTACCCAGTTGCCCAGTGGTGCCGGTTTTTTTCTTTTTTTTTGGCAGGGTTCCCCTTTCAAGTCAACCAACCAAAAAAGGGATGCCCTTTTCCCATGGTCACTGGGCATCTGAGGTAAAGGGCACACCTAAACCTTAAGCCCGAAGGGCCAAACCCTAAACCCCACACCATGCACACCCCAAACCCTAAACCCTAAGGTCCATGGAAGTCGCTCACCGCTTCGAATTTCTCCGAACGGAGACCGAGGAGCTGAGCCAGCAACAGCAGCGCAGCCGGGAGTTGGAGCATCGCCTGCAGCAGCTGGAGGATGAGGCCAACCAGCTCCACAACTCCGAGGCGCATCAAAAAGCAAAAATCGACGCAGGGGGGTGGAGGGATGGCAAGAAAATGGAGAAAAAGCAGCTCGACGTTTAAAGAAACAACCATAGGTGTCAAAAGGTTTTGATCGGTTAGTTTGGTTAAACATAGGTGAAACATTAGATGGGGTTTATGCCCCATTTACCAGGGAAACCCATTTATTTTTCCAAAAGGCCACCAATGGAAACAACGGCGGGGGGAGGGATCGCAAGAAAAAAGCGAGAACAACACATGACGGTGTTTTTTGAGGCGCGACAGAAAACCGAGGGAGGGATTGCGAGAGAACAAGGCCAGTTGGAGGGCTCGTTTTTGTTTGAGGTAATTACTTTTTTGGGTTAGTTTTCAATCGCAACCACAATTTTTTGGGGGTACCCTAAAGCACCCATTTGCGCACGTAGCTGATCGATCGTTTGCGCTCGCGAGATTGGGGGTTCAAAATTAACTATCCAGTTTAGGACCTCCGCGTTTTCCAAGGTTCAAAGGACGGCAGCTGTTTCCAGTCAATGAAAGCGCACATTTTCCAGATAGATAAACTCCTATTGCGTCACGTCCCCTCCAGAACAGAATGGAACTTGGGAAGGGCAATCAAGATGAGTTTCCTTGTGGGGTGATGCAAGTGGACATAGAACAAGCCGCCAGGCAAAGGCCCTTACGGAGTACGGTCTCCGCAAGGAGGAGGAGCTGGTGTTGGGTGAAAGATGGCGCAATTCCCCCAGGTTGGTCTAGTCATCCCCTTTACTCACTCACAATTGCCTTCAATCCCTTGTTTTCTGCTTTGCGCCAAAAAAAACCTGACATCCAGCAGGCCAGTCTTTCCCGAGCTCAGCGGTGGTGCTTGAAGTCCATTTTCGTGGGTTCCAAGAAATTGGGCTCGACCCGCAGGATCAACCAGCAACAAAAGTTACGAATGCCCAGTCACGCTTTCGGCCCTCCATTAGACTTTTGCTGCCAGATCTGAGACAGCTTGGCCCTATGCTGCACTAATGGCGTGGTCACCCAACAGGAGGTTCCCAGCCAGAAACACGTTGTGTGCTTCTCCGTGTGTGGGTGTTGGGGAGCCTTAAGCTCACTTTTTCCGACCCAAGCAGCTCACTGCTACCAAATCTGGTCTCGGCAGCCCCCAGGTCCAAGCGAGGCCGGTGATGCTGGGGATGCGGCCACCCTACCCCCTGGATTGCTCTAACCCAACCTGGTCCATGATTCCGGGGATGTTTCAGCCCTAAGAAAAGCCGGCGCTAAGAAAAATGAACTACCCTAGTAAAAAAATGAAAAAGAACAGAACATCACCTCTACCGTTTTGAGACCTAGCAAGAACTCAATAAGGAGTATTTGGGTTGTAGCCACTCTTTGGGACTTGGCTGGACAAGGCGCTGGAACTTGAAGGTGTGGGTGCACTGAAGAAAGGGGATGTATGCGCAGGGCCCCTCAAAGATTTTATTTCTAGGATAGAAAATCATTGCCAGCAAATGTTATTTGTCGTCTCCTTGAACAAACCCTTAGGTCGCCCTGTGTGTACTTAAGTCCATGTACCACCTATTCCTGCGCTGACGGTCATGTCCTGAAAGGCGCGAGGACTTCATGTCCAAAAGCCTACTTAAAGGGGCGATCGGGTACTTGGTCAAGTGGCTAGGTAAGCCTGGTTTTCACGCAGCCATGGCTTTAGTGGATAAAACCAGGCTTACTAACCACTGAACTAGCGTCGGAGCCTCGGACTGACTTTCCAGCAGTCTGCAGGAGCAGAAGCTGGCGGCGGAATGCAGGGAAAGGGAGTACGTGGTCCAAGCAGAAGTTCGGCGCCTGAACTGAAAAGTTCCCAGGCATCCAGAGCCCAGGTTCTCTCACCTTTGCATTGTTGTGTGTGTGTGTGTGTTGTTTTTTTCTCGTGTTTTCCTATCTGTTTGTTCTGTTTCTCTCTGTGTTGTGTTATGTTTTGTGTGTGTGTGCATGTGTGTGAGTGTGCGTGTGTGTGTGTCTGTATGTGTGTGTGTGTGTGTGTGTGTGTGTGTGCGTGTGGTTGTTTGCTTGCTTGCTTGCTTGCTTGCTTGCTTGCTTGCTTGCTTGCTTGCTTGCTTGCTTGCTTGCTTGCTTGCTTGCTTGCTTGCTTGCTTGCTTGCTTGCTTGCTTGCTTGCTTGCTTGCTTGCTTGCTTGCTTGCTTGCTTTTTTTTGCTTGCTTGCTTGCTTGCTTGCTTGTTTTTTTGTTTGTTGGTTTGTTTGTTTGCTTTTTTTGTTGTTGTTTGTTTGGTTTGTTGGTTTGTTGGTTTGTTCGTTTGCTTGCTTGATTGCTTGCTTGCTTGCCTGCTTGCTTGCTTGCTTGCTTGTTCGTTCGTTCGTTCGTTTGTTTGCTGCCTGGTTTTTTTCGCGAAGTGAGGGTAATCCACCAAATCACAACAACACCATCGTATACTTGGTTTGCAGAGTGTGCAGCGTGCTACGAGGAGCGTACTATGAAAAGTCTCCAATTGTGGCGTGTTGTCGGAGTGTACCACATTTTGTGGTGAGTTGTGTGTGTGTGGAGTGGAGTGTCCTGTGCGTAGTGTTTATTCTTTGCCGAGCGTCCCCTGCCCTACCTGAAGATCCTGTTTGCTGCATCCTGCACTTTTGTAGTTAAATATTTTGGTATGAAGTTTCCTTCCCTTCAGAATGGTGATAGAGTATCAGGAATTGATTAATTGAGTGAACCAAGCTGCAAGTTACGATTGTCAACACATCTGGCTTCCGATTATACACGGTGCTGCTGATTTAGAACCAGGTTCGCTGACACTTGGGTTCCCACTGTTCGATTTGCACCGTTCCCGGCAAAGTTAGCATCCACCGATCCTTTGTATCGGCCCAGGCCCAGGCACTTCATCTTTTTCATTCGCAAAGATGAACGGGTCGAATGCCGACCTAGAGTTCTTAATTGACTAGGGTGTTCCCCTTTAGAAGTGATTGGTTCCCTCTAAAATGGGACACCCCCTAGTAGTAGTAATGAGCCATGGGTTTCTCGGCCTTGGGAGCGATTGATTTTTCTTCCGCGGCAGTCGAAACGCGAGGCGTGCGAATCTGGAGAAGAACCAGATGCAGGGCACTCGCCACAAGGAGAGAGCCACTCGGATCCAGAAGCCGGATTTGCGGCTCAAAACCTGAGCACGGGCGTCCAAGATTGACCAAAAACTTGCTGGTGCGAGAGGTAGGGACTGGGTGAGACTGGGTGTTGGGCATGAACCGTTTTGGGGATTCTCTTAAAGGAAGCCATAGGGGATGGCTTGCGGGTGTCATTCCCTTATTCCCTACTGAAAAGCAGCAAGAAAAGGACCTTCTGCGCTTCCCGTGGCTCATGTTCAGAGATCCAACCTTGAATTTCCAGATCATTTTGGTCGGGTTTTGAAAGGGAAGGGCCAAAATAAGTTGAACATGTAGCGGCCAACGACCCAAGCCGCTGAGCCTGCTTTGTTTTCTGTAAAGATGGTATGTCAACGTCCAGTTCCTCTGATTAAGAATAGTTTGGTTTTTCTCCTGTTGGTTTGAAACGGAACCTATCACACTGGACACCTTTTCTCTTCCGGGTGGCTTAAGCAAATGGAGGTCAAGAAAGTTCAGGTCGAACCTGCGAGAAGAGCCTGCAGGAAGCCCTCATTTGTCACCGCGCCCCTTCCCACAGTTCATAGACACCATTTTGGACCTTCCCAGGAGAAAGATGTGGTAAGGACATGAAAGGGGGCTCCTTTGACTGGGATTTTCCAGATCAAACCGTCCAAAGTTTCCATCAGCTCGGGCTTAGGCCGAGCTGCAAGCCCAGTTGGCCCAGCTCCGAGCGGAGTTGTCCGAGAAACGCCGCGCGCCTTGGTAGCGAATCCATTGCGCAGAAGTCAATTCAGGGTGCCCGGGCTTGAAACTTGTTGGAAAAATAGTGAAACAAATAATTCGGATTTTGTTTGGCCAATCCACTCATCACTACTGGACATATTAATCAATATGTTGTTTTTTCCAGGGGGGCTTAAGCAAATGGAAGTTATGGGGGCGGGAGTCGTGAGCAAAGAGAAACAAAAAGGAACCCACCCACCCCTATCTTGATATGCGCAAGGCGATTCGCTCAGTTCGGTAGTACGGAGGTTGTGGGACAGAAATGTATAAACAAGCACTTTGGGTTGGGGTATGCTCTACTTTCTGCAAGGGCCTTGAACAGTAGCTAACAGTAGAGTCGGGTGGGCTACTTGACCAAATGCAGCGTGATAAGAGACAACTAAACAAATGGGTTCTGCCATCTCCAGGGTTTTCCTTTTGGACTCCCGCAACCCACATCAGGGCCTGTCGAAAGCCTCTTGGCACTTCACAAAGCGCCCGGCTCCCCTGGAAACCTCTCGGATTGGTGGGCCACCCCTGTCAGGAGGCCCGGTCTTTGCGAGAGGTCTTTCCAAATCCCGGTTGGGTTCAAGGTTTCTTGGGCGAGTAGGTTCGCCCGGGTTTGCTTTTGGCGATTTTTATAAACGGTTTCAATTTCGAGGCTGGTCCCAGAAACCGAAGAGATTGGGCAAAACAAAGCAAATCCGGTGCTTGGTCCATGTTTGGTTTTTGGTCCCAAAAGGTTCTCGTCTTACTTTCAGGCCCTGTGGCCAGTAGAGACATAGCTTTTGACATACCCGCCATGAGGGCCACAGTGGTCATTCATTCCCGAAAGTATTTCCTATATATATATATATATATTCCCCTTTTGGTGGTTTTAAGCATCACCTTCCAGCATGTCCCATTCCCGAAACCGTTCCGCGTATTCCTTTTCTAGTTTCAACCATCACCTTGCAGAGTCCATTCAAGCAGACCCAACGAACATTTTGGAAGGTGATGTTTACAAAATAAGATTCACAAAGAAAATCATGAGGATTCCATCAGGATTCCAGGATCCATTGGGTTAAATTTTATGTCTTGATGGTTACATGTCCGTTGCTTGATAGGATCCCATGGCCAGCGTCTGATCTGTAGGAAGAGGAGGCCTCAAAAGCCAAGCTGGCAGAGACCCAGAAGGCCCCGTTTGACGTGCCCTCTTTGCGAGGGGGAGGGCTTGTGTTGGGGCTCACTAGACTTGGCCTGGTTTTGGGGGACTCCGAACATGTTTCTTCTCCCTGGGTTCTGAAACTCGGGCTTTAGTCACTTTTGGGGAGGACAATTTGAGTAGTGAATCAAGAGTTTGGCCAATCCGCTCAGGAAGTGAGAATTGCTTCGCTCTTTGTTTAAAGGGTAGTTGTGTGAACAACTTTTGGCGCTGGATGTC